CGTATTCGAATTCACGGTATTGTTTTTTTCTAACTACTTTTATTTTTCCGTTTTCTAACTTTCTTAAAGCTTGTTTCATTTCGTCTATGCCCCGAAGGTTTAATTCTTTAGTAATAGTTCCATCTTCATGCTGAAAAAGACCTCGGTAAAGTCAATGGTCTGCTCGGGACGAGAAGTCGGCCCTAAAAGGGGCAACGTCACGATAAAGGGGCATTGGTCCAGACCTTTTTCCAATTCTAATATCGTAATAACTATCTACTTCTAAATCATAACTACCAATTGTTTCTTTATCAACCTCATAATTCTTCATAAACTCCTCAAAAGAGGAAATTTCATTATTTATTTCTCTAACTTCTTCGACTTGTTTGTAATTTTCTTTTGCTATTAGATTATTGTTGTTTTGGTTTACCATATTTTTTTATTACTTGTTATTTTGTTTAAACTTTTTTGCTAACTTTTACAGAGTTAGCCAACTGTTTTAATACTCTGATAAGTAATAATAACTTGTATTAAAACTTAGGAGAGTATTCTTTACCCTATTTTTTAGACTTCTGGGAAAGTCGCTGTCTGGCTCTTGCCTCTTTGGTAAGGGTCTGGCTAGTGCGAAAGGGAGAAGTTATTTTGTTATTATGGCTTTTGGCCTTTGTTCTCTCTAATTCTTTGTGCCCTAATGGCACGGGAACAGTTGATATTTGAGATATAGTTTTTTTGTCATGGCTATACTTCATAAATATTTTTAATTTATTTTATATAGTTTTTACTCACTATATAACAATTTTATAAAGAAATTGACTGAAATTCTTATAATTTATGTTTCTCTTATTTTGGCAACTTTTTATAGATTTTTTTGTCATTTAATACCAAAGCCCTAAATTATTTTTTATATGCCCTCAATACCTTGAAAATATTTAAAACAACACCTACTTTTGCCAGCAATCAGTCCTAAAGAAATTGGAGAAAAACTAACTTATTGCGGATTAGAAACAAAAATATTACAAAAAGAAAATGACATGTATTTCGAATTTGATATTCTTCCTAATCGCCCTGATTTATTATCTTGGTGAGGTATAGTTCAAGAAATAGGAATTATATTAAATTGCCAAGTAAAACCAGTTAATCTTCCTGTTATAAATGAGGCTAAAGAAGTTGAAGTAGTAATTAATGCCAGTGAATGCTTGGAATTTTGTTTGGGTCTAATAAAAAACATTGAAGTTAAAAAAAGTCCTGATTGAATAAAAGAGTGGTTAGCAGTAAATAATATTCGTTCAATTAATAATGTAGTGGATAGTGCCAATTTGGTAATGCTAGAAAGCGGTCAACCACTTCATATTTTTGATTATGATACTTTGCCAGAAAAAAAAATAATGGTCCGTCAAGCCCACCCAGGAGAAAAAATGAATGCCTTGTATGGTCAAGAACTAGTGCTTAATTCAGAAGATATCATAATAACTTCCGTAAAAAAAATTATTAGTTTAGGAGGAATTATCGGCGGCCAAGAGACCGCAACAAACCCTCAAACCAAAAATATTCTTATTGAATGCGCTTCTTTTGACTCCCAAACTATTAAAAAAACTACCAAGCGTTTAAATATTTCGACTGCCACTAGTCATTTATTTTCCCGTCGTGCCAATTTAGTTTTATCTCCTCAGCAAGTTCTTGCTCGGGTTATTTACTACATTGTTGAAACTTATCAAGGAGATTTAAATTCAGCAACAATTTACTCTTATCAGAAAGTGGAAAAAAATCGCCCAATAGTCGCTATTAGTCAAGAGTTTATTAACAAAAAAGTCGGCCAAGTGCTATCCGAACAAACTATTGAAAACCTTTGACAACAACTAAAATTTAACTACCAAAAAAAAGGAGAAACTTACTATATTACTGTGCCTTTATCACGACCCGATATCACCATTCCTCAGGACTTATTAGAAGAATTATTGCGGATTTATGGTTATCATAAAATAAGTGGTTCGCTTCCATAAAAAAACTTAAAATATTTTTTTCTTAAATCTTTTGCCAAGAATTAAAGAGGACTGAGAAATTGGGGACTCAAAACTGTTTTAATTGTTAAAGTCTTTCCTAACACATATATAAAATTATAATATATATTAGTTTATGCCTGAAACCGTGGAAAAGTTAAAAAAACTATCAAGAAGTATAGTTAACATATTTAATAAAAAACAGACAGAAACTAACACACACACACACACTAGAGAGAGAGAGAGAGAGAGAGAGAGAGAGAGAGAGAGCAAATTGGCTCTCCTTCCCAAACTAACAACAATAAGCCAAAACCTAGAAATTCCCTATTAGTAAAAGGAAAGAATTATCGAAAAAAAAAAGAAACAATTAAAGAGTCACAAACCAAAATTGATGAATTAGAGAATGATTTAAACAGCAGAAGAGAACTTTTGGCGAAAAAAAATCAAAGAATTGCTCATTTATTAGTTGCCAACCAAGAAAAAAAAGAAAAAAGCCGCGATTTAACCAAATTTATTAATCGTTTAGGAAAAAAACTAGCCAAAGTTCAGCAAAGAGAAGAAAAATTAACCAATACTAAGAAGCAACATATTCAAAGAATTGATAACTTAACTATCAAACTTGACCAGGTTCGCCAAATTCTTGGTCAGGAAAACCAAGAACTTCGTGATAAACTTCAAAAATTACAACTCCGTCAAGATTCAGGCTACTGGGACGATGAGTATGAAGTAGACCTTGAACCGAAAAATTTTGACCGAACTACTCAAACCAAAATAATTACTTTTTCTTCCCAGGAAACCCAAGCCGATTTGGTTGTCGAACCGGATCAAGAAATTTTATCTCGCCTAAATCGCCAGCAGAAAGAAATAACTGAATTAAAAAACTATGTCCTTGTTTTGGAAAAGGATTTTCTCGATGCGGCAAACAAGAATGAACTTTTAGAGCAATGGTATTATGAATTAGAAGCCCTAATTAGAAAACAAGACCAAGATTTAAGCAATTTAGACCAATTAATTGATAGCAAAAATGAGCGATTAACGACAACGCAAAAGAAAAAAGAATGATGGAGAGAAAGAGCCCAAAAAACTATGACACGAAAATAAAGAACTCCAAGACCAATTAAATAATCGCTCCCAACCAAAACCACCCAAAAGAATTAACAAAAAGGCTTTATTTCTTGGGACCGGTCTGGCCATTGCCGAATTAGCCAATAATTATTATAATCCTGGTTTTTCTAACTATGCCAACCAACTAAGCACCCAACCTGCTTTTAATAGTTCTCTTAATCTTAATTATCCTAATCCCCTTTGGGAAAATGTTCCTAATAATTGAATGTCGGTTGAAAGCAATCAATTCTATCAATTAAATCATGCTTATCAACAAGCCCAAGAAAAAATTATTAATTTAGAATGACAAATCGCTAATCTAAACGCCAACAATCAGACCAAAACGATAACTGTCACTGAAACCCCACTTCCTCAAATCTCCATTATAGACCATACCGC